AAAAAAACAGAATTGCCTAAGTAGGCTTTGAAATTACCAGATAGTCATTTGATTCAGCCAAGCATTCCTGCAGTGTTTATGAACAGTCCTTATTTCCGATTTCAGTGATATGGTATTGCACGTAGCATGACATGGATTGATAATATAAAACTTCAAATATATGAAAACATAATCTTCCTAAAGTTGGTCGTAACTCATAGAATAAAGAACAATTTAATGCTAAAACGTTTTCATGTTATTTAAGGGTATATGCTTTTCTTAGTTACCTAAATGCGCAACTTTGTCCCCATTTAACCCACTCCGTATCCATTACCGTTCCCGAAATCCCAATGGTGAGAGTCGAATTTGAAACACCCAGTATGCGTATAAAAAAAGTACGCCACCCGGCTGTACACATGCTGTACAATCCCCAAATAATTCAAAATATGCGTTTATAAATACACCAACCTTGCCGTGAAAATCGTTTTTCCAATATCATTCGTAGTTTCCTCATAAACCAGCTTTTCCTATGATGCCGCTGGGGCACCCAATATTATTATTAACCACACACTCGACTCATCGATGTTTCCTAAAAATACCGCTGAATAAAAGTGGGCGGATCTATTTTGAATCAAGCTATTTTTAGACCGAATATTTTGATCTGCTCTGTATGCTGCTCGCTGATTCCGTGACATTGGGCGTGCGGTTTTGCAAAATTTCAACTGATATTTTACTTCCCACGCATGCTTTAGTATTTGCATGGATAGCAGACAGGCCAAGGGACTCTTAAGGGTCAGATTTATAGACGTTCCTTGATGATTGAGTGCTGTTTGAGGAATGCTCTCTCATTTTAAACAAACAATAACTTGCTTCCTTGAGGAGTGTTCAAAGGAGGAGTTCACATTTGCATTTCATAATACGCTGTAACGGTTTTCAAAATTTGGAAACAAAATCCTCAACAAAAGTTCTCATGGTAGCAAAGCAACCTATGATAAGTTTCTGAGAAATAGGAGGATCGATGTTGCGGATTTGCAAAAACGATGAATGCACACACAAAAGCAATTTTCAAATACCTATGCTTTGCTGCCATCAATTCATATAAAAAATGAGAAAAAAATAGTTACTAACATGTTCAATAGATAAGTCAGTTAAACAGTACAATTACTCCACATGCATTGTTTCTCATGCCCTACTGGTAGTTACCGTTCATCTGACAACGTTGCCCCTTCCGATATCATGAGACGCCGCAGTGCCCATGGGACGCGTATTGAAAACATTTCTCTATCATTGTTTTGAAGACAAATGTGTGAAATATGGCTAATAGGTGCGTATAATTGCCGGTTTTGGGAGCGTATTAATATACTAACATAGAAAATTGGGATACACTGTCCCTCACCTCCCTTCCAATTTTTAATCACTAAATTTTTTTAAAAATGATGAAGATCCTCTGAAACGTTGAAATATTAAGTTTGAGCGATTTTATTGTTTTTTGTTTTTGGCCTTTTTCTCCGCCGCCACTGGGCTGATTGTCAAAATCTACAAAGCTTTCTCGTCCTTGGCATAGTAATAACCTTGTGTAATAACTTCCTCAAAATCCGACCGATACTTTCCAAGTTATAGGCGCGCCGAGGCTAGCGAACAGACAGCCAGGCAGACAAACCGACAGATAAACCGGCAGGCAGACTGACGGAAATAAGTGACTTTTTTGGTAATATACATGTCATATAACATCCAAAAAAACAGAATCTTATTTTAGAAATTTTTCGCGATTAGAATAATACTCCCTCGCCAGTAGCCGTGAAAAATAAAAATAATATAATTTTTTTGAAACATCAATTGCATTTTTGAGTAAGGTACTCAATTTCATATGAATCGCCTCTCTTGGGAAATGCTTGTCAGGCTTAATCATTTTGGAGAAAAATTGGTTTGAATATTTGAGGCATGCATTTGTACGATAAACTTCAACCCGCTCCGCCCGGGTATTACGTATCTTGAAAAGTGACATTATGTCGATTTTTTTTTTACTTTATATTCTTTTGTGATATTACGAGTATGTAGGTGTTTCTACAAGATGTTGACTTAGCATTAGCTGATGGACACTTGTGAACTCGTTTTGTACTCGTAGTTGTACGTGTTGCCTAAACGTCATGATGTTTCAGTTATGAATGTTTGGTTCTGATGTGATGTAAAATCTACTTCAGAGATTGGAGGTCTAAGCTCTAAGTTGTATACTATAGCTAGAAGGAAACCGCAGTGCATAGTGAGGATTTGTGTGCTAATAATATGTGTTGATGATATTTCCATTGGTTTCTTGTTTCAAATACATTTTCTTGAGATTGAAAGCTAGAAATTAGTTGCGCATTCACTTTTTTTATTCATTCTGGAAATTGTATTTGCAAATTTGTTGATTTTCAAAAATGAGAGATAAAAGAAAAGAAAATCCCTGGTTGGGGAAAACGGGAAAAGTCGTAATTTATAACTTTGAACGTAACTTGTCTTCAGAAAGGACAACATATAAAATAACCTGTCGGACACAGCTAATAGATATTCTTCATTGGCAGCATATTCAGTAATAAGTTTCTCACACAGCAAATATCACTGGTGTTATACACATGCAGACCAATACACATAATCATCCAGATGCGATCTTGCTATTCAACCAACTTTCTTCTCAGAGATAAAAACTATATGCTACTAGGCTTCACAAAACATATGCAACCAACAATGCGTGTAGACGTGTAGTTGAGTCATTTCTCCATAGATGGACGCTCACAACAATCCTAGTGAGCAAACGTGGAATGACTGTTTGCGCCCTAAAAACTACATAGTCTGCAAGATGACATTTTATAGGTTTTTTTTGACGTTTTATAGGTTTTTTACATAAGACCCGTGCCGATGGCTGGTATTTCCAACATCGTGGATGTGACGGAGAGCGATCTCCCCATATCCTCGGTAAAAGTGGAGTGTTCCAAAAACACCATAAGATCAGACTTAAAATATTCACTCATCATCCGTTCGAGGGAAGAATAGTTGATTGGAGAAATAACATTCCCTCCTCAGTGTCTCGTATTCTGCACCGATGGATCCTTTTCCATGGAAACGGGATCCAGTTGAGGCAGGAATATACTTGGAAGGCAAAGGCATGCAGCAAGGCTTTGCGCTGATCTTCCAGACAGAGATTTTCCATACGGTGGTATACTCAGAGGAAATTCAGCAAACAGCTCTGAAGGCGGTAGCATCTCCGAGGACAATGTCACCTTTAGTTCAGGAATATACTACTGCCCTTCAGGGTTTAGCCCGATCTAAAGATCTCGCTTTAAATCCCCGGACACAGCGGAGTGCTGGGCGATGAGAAAGCAGATGGCTTGGCTAGGCTGGGAGCCACAAGCACTTGCGTCGGGCATAAACAGAGGCCCAGAGAACATGACCCTGAAAGAATGGATGTGTAGGGACCTGGAAAGAGCGTGGCGCGAGAAAGATGACTGCAGACAGGCCAAGAAGGGCCACGGCAAACGTCGGACGTACTGGCTGGTGGACAGGGGTAGCAAATCACTCAACCTTTTGGTGGGGGTTCTCAGTGGCCACTGCAGACTGAACAGGCACTTAACCCTTTAAAGGTGAAAAGAGACCGAACATGTTCTGGGAGGAGGATGAAACAGCGTTCCACTTTCTGGGCTATTGCCCCGTATATTGCGGTTTAACGGCTGAGATATTCGGGGCCACGGAATTAGTTGGTGAAGTTGCTTATTCATCGGAATGGGCGGAGATCCTGACGTGCATTAGGAGGTCAGGAAGGTACGACAGTTTAGTAAATCAACACGTGAAGTAGAGTGTTGATACATTCGGGGTCAGAAAAAAGGACCCAAGGTGGTCTACCTGCGTGGCTTAGCCTCCCCATCGCTGCTACTACTAATATTCTGTAACCCATCGCTTATCTGGCAGCGTCTGAAAATTGCAATGGGAAAATTGCCTGGGTGTAGCTTCTGGTTTAATTATTCTGTGGTTTACGTGTTGTTCTTGTTCACTCTCATCAGCGGCGCAGAAATTTACAGGAGACATTTTAAGATCTATATTTATATGAACCTTTTTTGTTATTTTTGGACGTAGGACCTACCCTAGGAATACTCTAAATTTTCATGAATTACACCGTATAAGGAAAGCTTAGCAGGGTGGCATCACCTAGTTTTGACGATCAACGTATTCATTTTAGACTCGTGTTTCTCACGATTGCAAACACGGGTACAAACAACTAATAAAAATGACCTTTTAATCTGATGACAATGTTCATTCATAATATTTCTAAGGAATCTCGCATTCTAAAAACAAGGCGTAGGAAGAGTTTTCGCGTCAGGCTGGATTTTGTTACTTCACAGAGTTTTGGCGCCAAATTTTATTTTTGATCTCTGAAGTGGAGGTGGAAGTTTTTCGTTCATAAAATAGATCGAGAAATGTTTAGAAATGTATGGAATTCCTGTCAAATTAGTGAGGAATTTATAAAGGACGTTTTAAAATTAAACGCAATATGAGATAGGCGTAATTTTCTATTATAAAAATATGAATCCAAAGTCTATAAAATACTGTAGGAGTTGGAATAATATTAAATAGTCGATAAAAAGGTATTGCAGATCCTAGCGCCATGTATGAGACAGCAGCAGAATCACTCTCTTTTCAAAGTAGATTTCTAAATCCGTTTTTGTGTCTTGATGGCTTTAGGATCCTTTGGATCCCTTTTTGGGTGTCAGAATACAGTATATGGTTGGCTATCTTCAAGTAATATGTTATTCAATCATAATACTATGGTTACATCTGTAAATCTGGCAACACAACATCGCTCCATCGTCGGTACGACCACAACCAGGTGCTAGCTTTTTTGCTATTTTTATCGCTCTTGAGCGAAAAAAACTGCCATTTGTGGTAGGTACTTCAAAGACGTTAACTTGGGGTACTTTTTCAGTAATCTATAATCTATACTATCTGAACAGTCATCCGAGTTTGGTTTAAATGGTCCTTTTTTGTTCTAGGTCTGAGGGAATGGATACCAGCTCAGAATCTTCTACGACAAACAACGATTTTCCACTTCGCAAAACAGGTACGTAATCATCTTTTGTACATTCGTCATTTTTAACAAAGGTAACTCTAAATTATGGAGAAAGTTCTTAAGTTTGTCATATATGGTGAATGCTCTTGTGTGTTTTTAATAAGAATTTTTATATGTTACATACACATACATCCCATAACATGCTTCAGGAATTAAATTTAGCGTCATTTTTGAACGACTTGATCTAGAATTTTTATATTACGCGTGTACCATTTTATGGAAATCTGTAACAGGTGAAGCAACCATGGAGGTTTTATCAAATTCTACATGTGTGTGTATGTAAAACACTTTAGTTGGTATGTTTGCGTTCAGCTCTTTTATATTTCGACGTAGCGCATTGTTTTGACTGACTACACGCCAAAAATGAATTTACGTAGTCGTGCCATAAGTTCTGTCCCGTGATAATCTCATGATAAAAATGAAACAAGATAAGATATATTTATATGAAAGATATTATTTAATCGACAACATTTTTAGAATTCATAATCAAACAGTTTTATTCAAAATGTCCCCCCTTGGCCTTCACACACTGCTTCAATCTCGCGGGCCACTCATCTATCACTGCACGCACAGCTTCCAAAGGAATAGCTGCCGCTGATCGGATCAAATCCGCTTTCAGGGACTCGATATTACGGTGGGCTTTGGAGCAGGCCAACTGCTCTAGCAGGTCCCACAACTTGTAGTCTAAAGGATTGAGGTCCGGACTCCCTGAGGGCCAATCTTCCGCAGCAATGAACTCTGGCACATTGCTTTCCAGCCAGCGCTGCGTACTCTTAGCCTTGTGAGCGGGGGCGGAATCCTGCTGGTAGACCCAGTGTTGGTTGGCAAACAATGTACCACTTAAAGGCTTGACGATAGGATCCAGTATGTCGCTCTGATAGTTTGCCGCTTTTGTTTTCACGCCCTGTTTACAGAAATGGAGCTGAGTGACCCCTTCGTAGGACACCCCCCACCAAACCATGACTGACGCAGGGTGGTGGCCTCTCTCAACTCTCGGAATGATCTCCGAAGCTTCCTGTGAACTCCTTGCATACACTTTGTCATTTTGTCGGTTGAATTTTTCTTCTATGGTGAAGATTTTCTCATCCGTGAACAAAATCTTTCGGAATCCCCCAGCTGCGTACCTCTCCAAGAGCTTCTTGGATCTTGTCGCCCTGATGTGTCGCAAGGTGGCCGTAAGTCGCTGGCCCGTACGTCTCCGGTAAGCCCTTAGCCCTAGGTCTTGTTTAATGATGCGCGACATCGTCCGGACAGGAATCTTCATTTCCCTGGATAGGATCTTCTGCTTCCGGAGTGGATTCCTTTGAATCCTGGCTTTTACGGCTTTGATGGCTGCTGGAGTCCTTACTTGACGAGGTCTTCCGCTTCTTGGCCTGTCATCAACAGAGGACGTCTCATTGTACCGCTGAATGGTCCTAGACACAAATTTACGCGATATTTGAAGGCCGCGTAAGAGTTCAAAAATCTGACTAGCACTGTGATTACACTTATGTAAAGCTATCACTGCAATACGGTTCTCTGCCTTGCCCCACTCCATCGTTATGCTTCGAGAGATCAATACAAACTGAGGTATATGTAATTACCCGAAAAGCGCTTAATCAACTGACACCACAATGTAAACAATCGGACAAGTATTAACAGGTCTACACTTGTTTGAAAACGAGGGACAGAACTTATGGCATGACTACGTAGAATAGAAATTTTGCATTTGTATTCAACTTCAACCATTTCACTTCCCGCACCACAGGCGAGGAAGTATTGTAATCGCGAAAAGTTTCGAGAATGGGGTGACATGTTCTGAATGTTATTTGTATTTGTGTCACTCGTTTTCGTCGGTCTATCTGTCTGCCTGCTGATGATCGGTACGACCATAGATTGGAAAGTGCGTGTCGTATTTTGATAACATTTTCACACAAGGTTACTACTATGCCAAGGACGAAAAATCTTCGTAGATTTTGAAAATCGGTCCAGTGACGGCCGAGCTAGGTGCAAAATACGAAAAAATCATCGTACAAACACATTATTACACATATCTCGCATAATATTTACGTCTGTGACTCCAGCAACACCAGTTACCCAGGAACACGCGATACCCTTTACCTGTGGAGACGTCGGATCCGAATTCAGCAACGCCAACGGTCGCCAGTCACAGCGCCATCCAGATCGACGTTTAATAGTTTGTAGACAGAGTCGGTTATTCTGAAATACTACTGATTGACGACACGTCAAAAATGAATTTAGTGTAGTGATTTTGCCTTTGTATTCAACTTCAACCATTTGACTTCCTGCGCCAATGGCGAGGAAGTATTGTATTTGGGAAACATTTCGACAATGAGATGATTATGTTTTTTTGCATGTTTTTTGTATTTGTGTTACTCGTGGCCGTCGGTCTATCTGTCTGCCCGCTGATCCTTGGTACTACTATAGCTTGGAAAGTATAGGTCGGATGTTGATAAAATTTTCACACAAGGTTATTACTAAGAAAAGGACGAAAAATCTTCGTAGTTTTTGAAAATCGGCGGAGCTAGGTGCAAAAAACGAAAAAAATAATCGTACAAACTTTTTGTTTGAACTTTTAGAGGCTCCTGATCATTTTTAGAAAATGTTTTGTATGGGTTGAATATTCAGAATTTGAGGGTTTTAGATTATTGTAAATATTGCATCTTTGATATCAGAGAAAGACGTTTTATTATTCAGAAATGTGTGACTCTCGGTAGAGTTACCCAGCAGACACATTATTACACATATTTCGCATAATATACACGTCTGTGACTCCAGCAACACCAGCTCCGAATTGACGACGTGTAATAATTTGTAGACAGAGTCGGTTATTTTAAAATAATTTTAAACTGACAATTCAAATATATGTATTCTATAACATCACCAGCTTTAAAGGTTTCTGGGGCCGGCTAATAGTAAATAGTTTCAGATACTAAACATGGTGCATATTCAAAATTAATTCAATTTAATTTTTTTTAATCAACTGTTTTCACTGATACTCCTACTCTACTACCTTATGTTGAGGTACAAGGATTCTCATAGCTGACGAATAATAAAGTGTCATAGTGTGCAAAAACTGTCTGAGACACTAAACATGCTGCATATTCAAAGTCCATTTGTCCAGTATTTCTTGGGAAGTACAAAGTCAACCTAATTGACATTTCTTCATTTCAGCTTCTGAGCCGAACCTGCTGAAAGTCCGGCTGAAGCAGCGCGTGATGGAGCGCCGCTGCAGCCCGATGAGCAAACGCCTTCCCCCCTCATTGAAGAAGAAACTCCTCAGCAGTTGCCTGCCCCCGAGCGAGTCTCCACCCCAACAGGAACCGCCCAAAGAGCTGAGCCCACCCTGCGGAGGCGGCGACCTTCTGGAGGAGCGCCGGCGGCACGCTGCGCTCTTCAGCAGCCCCAGCATGCCGAATATCTCGCTGGCGGCGGCTGCGGCGGCAGCAGCGGCCTCACATCATCACCATGGAGGGCTCGCGCCACCTCCGGATCTCAGCGAAGCGGCTGTCAGGGCGGCGTGCACGGCCAGGCTGGGTAAGCACATTGTTCTCTCGTAATTTTGTGTTTTGAAAGCGCAACGTACTTTGGCGCTCGGTGCTTTATCGATTTGGACGGAGAGCGGCAACGTACTTTCCGCTCGGATTCTACTAGTGGTTTCTACAACCGCAGGTATGTACTGTTCCTATAAATTTATAATTGTATCACAATAATGTAATCAATTATATTCCCTGAAATTTCGAAATGATCTTCATATGTTCTCTAGGTTATCCAACTTCTTTAGGTTTCATTGTTCGCTATATTCTGGTAGATAGATTCTCTTAATTGTCTATATTTCCTAGGTTCAATAGCTTTTCTAGATTCTCCATTTTTCTGAGTTCTCTATATTCTCCAAATTCTTTAAATTCTCTATGTTCTATCATTGATTTACGTATTCTACTTGAAGATCGCTCTCAAAAATTCCAACAATGCGTGTAGTTGAGCTATTCCTCCATAGATGGACGCTCACAACGATCCTAGTGAGCAAACGTGGAATGACTGTTTACACCCTAAAAACTACCTAGTCTGCAAGATGAGATTTTATAGGTTTTTTTGACGCTTTATAGGTTCTTGTTAGTCAAGGCGCAGTATTGCGTTTTGGAAACATTGTTGCGTCCCCCAGCAGTGATAACCTCCAGGTCTCTAGTCAGATAATAAGAATTCTAGTATTCTTTTCTCCAGTCCACCGGCAGTAATCGACTTGGCACTATGAATTTCTGAATGTATAGTGCTGTCATCAGCAAAGCTGTGGATTGGATAAATCAGACAGGAAAGGATATATAAGAGGAACAATATCGGAGGCAAGACAGGTCTATGTGAAACACCCGCGTTGACATTGTGTGCTGAAGAGAAGAACCCGTCAATTACGACGGATATCTTGCGGCCAGAGAGGAAGTCAGCCACCCATCTGCATAGTTTCTCTGGGAGGCCATAGGAGCTTGCTTAAGAGGGATAGCATGCCATGGCCGCTCGAACGCTTTCTTGATATCAAGAACAACGACATGATCCTCATTATATGATTGGATGAGTTTACCTCATATCCACTCCACATCTATGAGAATTTGCCACAGCTGTTTCTCTATTTACTAAAGTCATATACCTACTTTAAAACATTTAGAGTCCTATAGATGGCGCTGTAGCCATATGTTCATTTAGACGGCATCATCTATGAGAAACTAACCGTTTCTAAATATGAATATATAGAGTAAATAGGGAAACAACTGTAACAATTTCTCTCAGATGACGCTACGGTATCGCATTTTAGCTTGGGTAATTATTCGGACGGGTCAATACAGCATTAGGTTGGCTATTTTAAGGTAGAATCCGTTAATCAATGATTCTATAGATTGTCTAGGTTCTCTAGATTCACCAAATTTTTAAATTTCTTCCATTTTATATACGTACATTTTCTAGATTCTTAAAATCATCTAGATTCAGGTGTGGTTCAATTTTAGCGTTTGTTCGTGTTTCAAAAATGTCTTTTGGTACATTTACTTCTATCGCACTGGTTCGCTAGCAAAACATCCCTAATGAATGTGTACGCAAATATCTGAATCGGCACCCTAAATAATAACCCTACAAATACCATACATAACGTAAGCTGTCCCTAATTGCCTCTTTGAGTAATCCTACTTCATAAAATGTTCAATAGAGCCTTATCTCTCATCATCCGACTTCTATGGATAAAACTGATGAATTTTTTATCAGTCTCATTATTATTTAGAGTAATATCTAGGTGCATGATACAAAGACGATGTTTTGAAATATTTACTTGTGAATATTTTAAGGTCTGTACAAATATGATCGATATTTCCTCGTTGCGGTAAAAAATAAATGTGTATTCAATAAAATGATGTCCGTTGTAATGTTTCTCCTGCTGTCCCGTACAATTTTTATAATACTCCAGGAAGTATTTTCGCATCCCCTTGGAAAATATTCTAATTATGTTTTTTTGCCCAATTTTAACGAATCTGCATGTTGCCAGGCGCACAATTGCATCTATAACTATTGTTTGAACAATTTTTTAACCAAATTCCAAAAATTGTTTTATTTGCGCTTCGGATAAAGTTTGTTTAAAGGTTTTTGTTCAAACAATGATTGACTCAATTTTGGGCTTGGCAACTTGTAGATTTGTTAAAATGGGTCCTTTTTGAAAAGAGTATGCAAAAACCTAATCAGATTATTCTTCCGAGTAAATGCGAAAATACTTTCTTGGACTAATGGAAAATTGAGAATTTTCTTCGAGCAAACCCTTGAAGGACAAAATTTTACGATGAAATTTTTTGAGAAGCTAGACTAAACCCGCAGTACTGCTCACGTGGTAGTGGTGTAAAGTATAGGTTTTGCGTTAGTATGAAGGAGATTGGTTACGAAGAAATAAATGCAAAGTAATACAATAGGTACCTTAACAATGAACATTTTAATGCAACAATAAATTAATTTCAATGTTTCGCTTCTTTATATCCTCGGCAACCTAAAAGTGTTAACGAGGTTAGGATTTATGTGTGAAGTTGGTACTATTTGCATTCAAGTAGTTGTTTGGGGAATCGGTTTTTGTTTAGCCTGTAACACAACGTGTGCGATACATTAGGAGGAGCGTTAGTTTAAGTTCAAATCGTAATAGAGAAATTTTAAAATTTATTTTGGAAATTTTTCGAACTATATTCTTGATGTACATTAGAGTGACCACTTGGCAAAATTGGTTAATGTCAGAAAGGGGGAGACAAAATATTTTTTAAATAACTTGTTGATTTTACCTATTGAAATTATTATTGTTATTGTGACAAATCAATATTAGGAGTACAAATACCGTTATAATTTCTTGCAATTCAGCAAATATAAGTAGATAACGCTAAGTTGTTTGACATCAGCCTTTTTATGCATACAACTGTCAGTCATGAGAATGTTTGACATTTGTAACGTTTAGAGAGATGTTCTTCTCTGTCAAGGATCTTGATACTGTTATAGCACATCGAGTGCCCTGTAGTGTTCGCATGTGATGCCAGAGCCCATCTTATATATATAAATATATTGAAGGTCATGGTCAGGTTAATTGGATATATATCTAAACCTAAAATTTTTCGTAATTTACATTCCAGGAATTACAAATAGTGTTTGCTTTTAAAAATTAATTTGATCTTCAAATGATCTTGATAGTCATAGTCAAGATCATGGACATATTTGGACAAAGTTTCTTCCTCTTTTTATTTTCATTGTAAAAAATAGGGTTTCCATTTAAGGTCACGTTCAAGGTCACCATTAGGTGAATCTTTACAAACATTTAATCTTTACTACAACACGTTTCTTTCCGGACACCCTCAAATACCCATGAAGATCATGGTCATGGGCGAACAAACTAACCTAAGGTTTCCCGCACTTTACATTTCCAGCGACACAAATAGGGGTTTCTGCCCACCTTTTCCCTAGCTTGGCACTAATTAAATGGAGAAAACAAAAATTATTCATGTACAAGGTTTTTCACAAAATTGATGAATATCTATTAGATAAGAAATTAGGTACTAAGATTAGTTGAAATCTATGTTAGATATAAACCTAATGTTGCTAAAAGCACTATATATGTCACGTGTCTTTTAAGTATATTGACGGATTACAGTAAAGACTGATCTCGTGACATTTGCCTAAACGACGCGGAGTACATTATGGGAGCAAGTTGCGTAGGTAAATAAAAAAACGCCTTTATGGCCTCCTTGATTTTCATAGTTTTCTACTGGTCCGCGACAGCGCTCTATTTTGAGGTTATGTTACAAATATCTATTTACATTAAATTGTTCATGCTTTTGATTTGTATCATTTTATATAGCCTGAAATTTCCTACTATTCAAAAAGAAAACATAGCCTTGCTGAAAGAGAGAAAAGACTATGAAATGAAAAGCGAGAAGGTCATAAAAATGGCATACATAAGAAAAGTCAAAGTTGAGGCGCGGGATTAAAGTCGAAAAATCATATTAATGTTCTATGTAAGCCACCTTGCTTGCACCTTGATCAAAAAGTGTCACTGTCAAACTTCAGTTTATTTTGAAATCCCATCTCAAATAAATTCAGGAAAAATAGAAACGATTTTGGGAAGATTTGTTCCATTTTCCGTGTATTTCTGGATAAGATATATAAATACGCAACTTTGTCTCCATTCAACCGATCCGTATCTCTTACCGTTTCGGAGACCACAGTGGTGAAAATATGACAAATCTGTTTTTCAAATCGTTCTAGTATAAACTAGCTAAATTATTTCCGGAATTAGTATAATATGCTATATCGCCGGCTATATCAAAACTTCTCCCTTCAAAGTGGCATATGAGAATATTCTCAACGATGCACGGTGTTCCATTAAAAGAAATTGTCATGTCGGTATGAGGTACCCTGTAGGGAGCGGTATATTTCAAGTAGGAAGCGTATACTCCACAATTTGTGTAAATCACATTTTTGATTATGTTTTATAGTAATGGAGATATTGTCCAATTAGATACTAAATTCTCACCCTGTATGTCTAACTTGTTGTAGGAGTCCCTGGATAGCTTGAGCGTTTTTGAAGATTTTTTGCGATGTTAATCACTACAAATGCTTTAACTTTTTGCTACTAGTTCATATTTACTCTGATGAACTTTTCGGCAAAAAATGAATGATTCTGCAACCGTTGCAACTAACTGGACATATTCATTTTGAAGGTGTTTTCATCCATCCCTTTCCCAATTCTTCTATAGACATAACTTTGAAGTTTGAGAAAAAAAGTTTCTCAGAATTTCGAGATGAGGGGCCTTTGCATTCACTCTAAAGAATATATAAATTGTTCTGTACAATTTATTTTACAACAGAGTTCATATTTGGCTTGCTTGAATGTTTGAAGAAAGTATTCCTAGTAGTTTTCCATATCCATATGAATTATCAAACCGTCCTGGAGGACTCGATATAAATAAAATACAAATAGAAAGAAAAATATCAAGCGTAGTTATGTAGATATGATTTGTGGAAAGATTTAAAAGTGCCCTCCTTCCGTTTTGAGCTGAGTATACCTTAGGATTTACCATATTTTTTTATGAAAAATCATGTAGTAGTGTATGTAAAAAAATTAAGCTATACAAATTCCGTGAATACTCTAACTTACAGCAGAAGATGGAAGATATTTGTTACTTTACTAGGCTGAGAAAATTTGAAAAGTAGGTTCGATGCTCATTCAAATAGTGCAAGGTTAGGTTTATGTTATTTTCCATGGAGCATGCACATCAAGTTATTATTTGAATATTTGATTCTATATTGTATTTTGTTAAGTGTATATAGCAACAGTATGATCACTCATTGATCTGAGTTTGTTTAGACTTGTTTCTTGTTTGGATTGACGAGCTTACTGTTGAAAGCCATATATAAAATGAGTAGATATTTGAACAGATTATTTCAACGGATTTTTTTTGTTTGATGTTACTGGTATTTTCTGGATTTTGGTGAGGGGCATATATGAATGAGATTACTACAGAATTAAGATACGAACATGGAAGCAGTAGGCGTTTTTGAAATAATATGGACTCGATTCATTTTTTTTATAATTCCGAACTTCTTATTTGAAGATTTTTCGAGTGCCTGAAATTTAAGGTATCATTTTTTTCCAAAGGGTTTAATATTAAAAAAACCCAAACCGAAATTTTAGAGCGTACTCAAAAGTTGTTTCTGTAGGGTACAATGTTTTTTAATAATTCTAGACTTTGTATTTGTACATTTCTCAAGCGCCTGATCATTTTAGGGTGTAGTTAAGTTAATGTTAATTTCTCAACTTGCCGGTTATTTTTTAGGATTTCGCGCATTTCGACTTCCTGACCATTTTAGGGCGTAGTCTACTTTTTTTTCTGGAGCGATCAACAATTAAAAAATACCAAGATTCGTTTTGGTACTTTTCTCAACACACTGATTAATTTGGAGCTTAGTCAAAAAATTGTTTTGGAGCGATCAACCTTTAAAAAAATCAATACCTCGTCCTGGTACGTTTCTCAAGTTCCTTATCATTTTAGGTCGCAGTCAAAAAATGTTTCCTGAATGGGTCAACAATTTTGTAAAATGTTTTTCTGGATTGGTCGTTATTTACAAAAATCTAAGCTCAAGTTTTTCAACTATCAAATCAATAGGGCATAGTCAAAAATACTTTTGGAGACAACATTTTAAAAAATTCCAAATTTCGTTTTTGTACGTTTCTTGAGTTCTTGATCATTTTAGGACGTAGTCAAAATTTTGGTCTCGAAGAGGTCATTATTTTAAAAAACTGCATACTTCGTTTTTCTGTGTTTCTGAATATCCTGATCACATGGGCGTACTGAAAAATAATTCCTGAAGGGGTCACATTATTAATAATTCCAGACCTTGTTTTTGTCCGTGTTTTTGAGGTCCTGGACATTCTGGACCATGTATTTGAAACGATATATTATTCCAGGCATGCCCTTGACCGGACAGATGCTCCCCGGTACCCTACCTTTCTACCCCTCCCTGCCCGCCATAGACAGCGAACAGGAGCTCACCGCGGCTCACCATCATGCTGCCGCAGCGCAGGCCGCCGCACAGGCAGCTGTGGCCGCCTCTGGGGGGCCGAACTGCAGTAGCATATCGGCCATCAGCACGTTGGATACCATCAGCGAGTTGCAGGAACCTCACACGGTAAGATGAAAGCTCCGGGCATATTATAGCAAACTTTCTAGTTTCCAATAGATGCGAATAGATTTTCTAGATTATCTAGTTCTATAGATTCTGAATTTTCTTCGTTCTATAGCTTCTATCCTTCTAGCACTTATAAAATATATTCTCTTATAGATTTCACTAGATTTTTTAGACCCTCTATATTCTACAAATTGTCTCTAGATTCTTCAGACTGTATTCTTTAAATCTTCTAGATTCTCTAGATACCGTAGATTCTTTAATTTTTTTGCATTCTTTAAAATGTCTAGATTCCCTAGATACTTAAGATTCTCTCCTTCAGATGCTCTGCATTCTTTAAAAGGTCTGCATTCTCCAGAATCCCTAGATTTTCCTGATTCAAAAGATTTCTAGACTTTCTAGATCCTATTTTATGTATTGGTTGATTCTAGGTTTCTAGATTCTATACATATTCCGATTATCTAGATAAGCAATCCATGTCTAGCACTCGGCTTTTGATTTTAGGCATAAGGTCGAGGTGGAATCCACTCCCTAGGTCGAACTCAAGCATCTCCGCTGCCCTTGGGCCATCCTCTACCAGGATGTATGGTTGTGCATACATATTTTTTCTGTATTAAGGTCTAAAAATGTTCTACTTTTTGTAAGCTTTCGATTGTAGATTTCCAGTCGGACTGTGTTCCGCCTCCTAGGCCAAACTCAATCTTCTGCCCTGCCTCTCGGGCACCACTTACTAGGAGGCTTCGCTCAAATGTCGCTCCCTAGATTTTCCAGATTCTCTAGATTTATATCAATATGTTCCTTTAATTCCAAGCATTTCGTCAAGGTGTGGTTCGACCCCTGGACCGAACCCAATTCTCTCCGCTGCCCCTAGGGCATCCCCTAGGTTCTCTAGACGCTGTACACGCATTAGATTATCAGACGAAAAATCTACTTCCAACCTTTCAATTTTTGTATTCCAGCGGCCAAGCTGTGTTTTCAACTATTAAGCAAAATCCAACTCTCTCCGGTGCCCCCGCTGGACTATCTAGATTCTCTAGACTCTTTAGATTCTCTAGAGGAACAATATACTTCCGCAATTTTATTTATTCATTCCAGACATCCGGTCGACGTTTGATCACCCTCTGAGGCCGGATCCAATCCTCTTCTCAGCCCTTGGGGCAGCCCCTGCTAGGAGGCGTGGCTGTGCATATTTGTCATATGAACGTTTACTAACTTTTGCATCAGTTTCTTTCTTTATTTCAGGCATCCGGTCGAGGTGTCATTCGCCCCCTAGGCCGGACCCAATCCTCTCCTCTGCCCCTAGGGCATCCCCTACTAGGGGGCGTGGCGGCGGCTGCAGCAGCTGCGGCCGCCGCCGCTCAAGCCGTTGCTCAGGTGCCGCCTCCTCCCCCAGAAAGGACGAAGCCCACACTAGACGCACCTCCGTCTCCAGGGGAACAGGAGCAAAGGGATTTAGAACTCAGGGCTAACGAATCTAGAAGGTATGCTCTTTGAAATATTTATTGTCTCCGCCAAAATACGCTACACATAATTATGATGATGTCACTTGTCATTCGAACAGCGATGGAATATTCCGGGCCAAATTGCCAGGCTCTGTTAGAATGTTGCCGGTACTTTGTTAGAAATGATAACATCAGAATAAACTGATTCAGAAAGGTAACAAAACTTTGCATTCTTAACGTAATCGGCGTTTAGACTATAAAAAACGGTTTATGCAGAGCAATTAACTGATTCTCTGACGTCTTTGACAGCTGCCATAATTCTGCCGAATTTCTCTCTTTATCCAGTTCTTGAAAATTGTAATTTAAGCATATTTTTTTATTATATCTCCATAACGAATAAAGATATTTTTCTGCGGTTTTCGCCATTTAGTATACCATTGTATTTGAAATTTTCGAAAAGATTAAAAAAAAACACATCCATAAAACGCTATCTAGTGGCAACAACGTGAATCAATTTGACAAGATCATGAAAATCGGTGTAGCCAAACAGAAGTTATATTATTTTTTTTAAAATGGCATTCAACCCTCCCCCCACTCTAAACGAAACAAAATATGGAAAAATAACATCGAGAAAACAGTTTGAAAATCGAGCAATCAACATTATTAAATCAGCACCTTAATTACACATTTTTTCGAAATAAAGGCGCTTAAAATTGAAAATACGCCCCCTAGCGGCCATTTTAGGAAGATGAGAATAATTTCCAGCGATTTCCTCTGTCAACTTTGGTTATGAAAAATTTTAATTTAATTTAATAACTGAAGGAATGCTTGACTGATCATTTGAAATAAAAGACTCTTGGATACTTTCAAGGCCTACCTAAGAAATAGGTTTGGCAATGTTAACGCATGACATGTTGCACATTGCTGGAATTAAAATGAAACATTCTATTCACCTGTGCAAAAATGCAATTTGCTGTCTATAAGAAAAACAATAAAGTCCATCATTTAAGACAAGGGACGAAACATCAAATTGAAATTCTGATTATACCATCTTGTAGAGGGAAAAAAGGCTGTGTTAATGTAATTTTTATTTCGAAATCCCATTTCAAATTAATCCAGGAAAAGATAGAAACGATTTTGGGAAAATTCTCTGCAAATACCAGTAATTGCGAAACTATCTCAGTGCCACTTTCACAGTTACGTATATGCGGGATCTCAATGGTAAAAGTTGAATTTGGAACACTCGGTATAGCTGTCGATCACCGTCTTTAGGTGTCGGCGTTGCCACCTCTCGGACTATTGCCTCATTTTACAGGATTTCCTTTTCCGTCGTTGAGAAATCCTGAAAATTCGAAAACTTAGGAGTGATTACAAGAGAGGTTGAAGATTTGATCTTTCCTTGGCGTTAGGAATAAACAACCTTCAAGCGGAAAATTTAATTATGTGTATCAAAACCATTGATTAGTCGATGGGTAGTCCTACTTATCGTTGTCCATTGTTACTATCACTCCCCCCTAATAATGATATTTTCGGCCTCTATTGATTCGGCGACGAATAAATGAACATCGCACCTGCAGGTGTGTTCATTAGTGGTTCCGATGGTCTGCGTTTCTGAGGGTAATTGATAGATCTTGTAAGGCTTCTAGGCCAAGGATTAATTAACAAAGGAATTCAGAATGAACCTCTCGAACACCATTAGTCAATTGTTGAATCGGTATACCAAACGATTTGGAACTATCTAAAATTTTCACTAACAGCGTGTTGCTCTCCAAACTGCTTAAACGTTGTTACAGCTTAATAAGATATCCCAAACTGACCATCTATATTCAACTAGACGAAAATATATTTTACACGCTAAGTCTCATATAGTTCCAAGTATTTATCACATGGTAACAGTAATTATATTTGAGTACCTATTGAAGCCTGTTGACAAACCAGTAGAACACCGACGACCCGTCTGTGCGAAAGAGTCCCGGGACTTTCGGTTAGAAAAGAGTCATCGATCAGTCGGTCAGCCCTCCTCTGTACATCATCGAGCGTAGACAATTTAATAGGGGCGGCAGCACTTCAAACATGTGAGCAGTTCGCGATGCTGGGTCTTATCTGGGCCTTGTATGGACTGAGGAAGGTTATATGGAGAAAAGTAGTTCTTAGCTCTAAAGAACAAGCCGAAATGAACGCCAGGGCGTTTCTTTTTAGTCAAGGTACAGTACTGTGTTTTAGAAGCATAAAACTGTGAGTAGTGATAACATCCAGCTATCTCGTTGGAGAGGAAGTCGCTGCTAGTCTTCTTTCCAGCTCACCTGCAGAAATCCACTTGGCGTTCTGATATGTTGATATTTAATACAAACAATGTCGCGGTCAAGACCCCTGGGGAACATCCGCTGCGCTTTGTGGGATGAAGAGAAGCCGTCAATTACGACGGATATCTTGCGGCCAGGAAGTCAACCACCTATCTGTGGGGGCCCTTAAACAACTCAAAATATATAGTTAATTCATTGATTAATTCAATTGAAATGAGTTCTGAGTTGAGCTGAACGAAATTCAGTTGAGTTGTATGATACTAGAGGTCAACTGGATAAAGATTATTACTGAACAATCTTAAGTGTATTCGCCACTAGCGCACAAGCGAGACTGAGGGGGCATAAACACTCGATCGAACCGGCAACAAGCTATTGCAAACATATGCCGACCAAGCCAAACGCTCCAACCGCACGTTTCCGTTTGTGACGATTTGTAGAGGTTTGCCAAGCATGCGGACGCGCCATGAGACTACTATGGCCTGCAAGCGATATCGTGCCTTATAGCAATATAACACCAAAAGTGATATTGTGTCGGTGCAAATAATAAAGTATCTTGCATAAATAAATAAATAGCGTTTATTGCCCAATAGTTAAGTAAACCATTTACAGGACAATCCCAAGATAAATCAAACTAACCAAAACAGAAAACACATAAAAAGCAGGTGATTTCATCTAAATGAAAAAAAAACTAGAAAAAGAAGCAAAAAACATATTTGACTAAACTGAGAAACATATTGTAAATTGTCCAAGTAATTTCTAGCTACTCCCAGAATGCTGTTCAAACTGTCAGCATGTATATCACAATAATTTGATATCGCATTGAATGTTTCACACATCACATATATGGATGCCTTCAAAAAAAATTTGTGCGAGCCCTGTCACAATAATAGGTTTTAGCTGTACATTAAAGTTTAGTTGAGACACAATCCCATTAGCATCAATTTGATTGTGCAGTAGTTTATGTAAGAACATAATTGACCCAAACTTCCTTCTCAGCTCTAAAGAATGCATTTGAAACCTGGACAATAACAAACTTTCAGATATATCACGCTCAGGATATGTACCGTCAACTTTGAAAGATACAAATTTTTCTCGGAAGATGCTCAAGAGAATCAATGTAGCAGTTGTAAATTGGGTTCCAAATTAACGATGCATATTCCAACTTCAATCTAATATATGCAGAATACAAAACCAACAGTGACTCTGGACGGCTAAAGCTTCTACAGTTTCTCACAATAAATCAGTACGCCCGCGAAGCTTCACTCACCTTTTGAGCTATGTGGAGTGAAAAATTAAGTTTATAAATACTCAATTAAGTTGTAACGACTTATGTAAACATCCCCAATCTTATTATTAAATTTACAAGCAGAATTTGTCCTAGAAAATCTGACTACACTATACTTAGACGCATTTAGAAATAAATTATTCTCGTCACACCAAGCCACTAAAGAATCAATATCCCGCTGAAGTGCAATACAATGAGCCTCAGACTGAATATTTCTGAATAATTTTAAATCATCCGCAAATAAGAGTTTATTACAACTTAAATAAAGCACAACATCATCTATAAATAAAGTAATCAATAAAGGACCAAGATTTGAACCCTGATGCACTCCCGATTTAGTTGTATACTGGTACGACTTGATTCCATTAAAAGTAACATATTGCTTCCTTTCATAAAGATAACTTTGAATGAGTGCCAAAGCTGATGAATGGAATCCATAATAAAAAAGTTTATTTAAAAGTATACCATGGTCCACCCTATCGAACGCTTTAGCAAAATCCGTATATACTACATCTAGATTACCTTGCCGATCCACACATTCAGTAGCAGACTGAGTGAAGATTGCTAAATTAGTTACTGTGGATCTATTAGTAAGAAAACCATGCTGAAAAGGAGACAGAGATCTATGAGCTGCGGAGTAAATTCTATTATGCAATATTATCTCCAACAATTTGGAGAAATTTGACAATATTGCCACGGTTCTATAGTTTTTAATGTCAGTATAATCCCCTGATTTAAAAATAGGTGTTGCTCTAGAAAGTTTCCAAATATCAGGAAATGTATTGGTTTCTAGAGTCAGATTGGATATTTTTTATAACGGTTTGACAAAGACATAAATACAATCTTTGACTATGAACGAGGGGATGTTGTCTGGGCCGGCCGTTACCCTATTCTTGAGTTTTTTAGATGCAGCAATAATCTCATTTTCATGAATGTCATTGAAAAATATGTTAACTTGACTAGTAGAATTCCTGCCTTCAAAAAAATCGTTACGAGTAGATGGATCAACAAAAACACTATTAAAAAAATCTGCAAATGCATTGACAGCACAGTAAGGATCGTTCAGTGAGACGTCATTCAACTTCGTTTTACCAGGTATCATAGTAGTTCGATTTTTTATATATATGAAACTCCAAAAATTTTTAGGATCTTGAGAGATTGAAATCTCAACATTATGAGTATAATTTTTATAGGCCACAGATATTTGACGCTTTACGTCAGATCTAAGATGTTTGTACTGTTCATGTAGACGGCTATTGGGACTCTTTTTGTACTTCTTAATATAATTATAAATTTGCTTTATGCTTGACTTTCCTAATAATTTCACTGTTGTACCACGAAGGATACTTATGACTAAAAAATTTATATTTGGGTATATAAATATTAAAGATAGAGTATAAAATTTTATAAAATTCAACAATAGCTAAGTTAACTTCTGAGAAGTTATCTAA